TCATTTGCTCTCGGTCAAAGTAAAAGTGGCTCTTTTCCAGTTCCCCCTCTCAAAATGCCGAGATTTATGTTTGTTCTACGTGTTATTACTGCTTAATGCGTGATGTTACGCTGTAAAGTATGAAGAACAAATCTGTTCGCAGTTGTCGATTTGCTCACCACGCCAAATTTCATTGCATTGTGACAACGTTAAACAGGCTTTTCAGAATTGAATTTGAAAGGGGGGAACTGGAAAAGAGCCGTAAAAGTTTACCTGAATTTCGAAAGAAATGTTGTTCAAAATGTACATTGAAACAGGTATTTTACAGAGTAAAATATAGAATTGGCGCTTAATTTTGTCCACTAGTGAAAATGTTATTTTGAGTTTTTCCCGACCTTTTAAATGACAGTACTTATTGTCATAGGGATACTGCGTTCTTTTTCGTCTGGCAATTGCTACATCATTTGCACTTTTGGAACAAAAATTTCAAATAAAGTCAAAGACGAGTGAAAAGCTCCACGTGCGTTTTTTGAATTTCTTGGGAGAGCTAACTACAAGCGAGGATTTCATCAGGGCAACAAATATTCGACATTTTAAAATTTCTTGTAAATAAATAAGTCCAGTCAACTGTCAAGATGCCTCGTATGGACATGGGTTTTGTGGCGAGTGAGCAATGGAAACGAAGGGTTCAGAAAGAGTTGATGGCCCGACTGACCTGGCCTCAGAAGTATGGCTACCTGGCGAAGAAGGGAACCAGGTACGAGGTCATGTCCAGGAACCTACATCATGTTCCATCTATGGAGGAGCTGGAAAAGCGATTGATAAAGGTTGAAATGATCTGAAGAGAAGACTCTTTTTTCTTTTTTTCCAAACTGCGAATTTTTACAAGTAAAATTATCGATCGCTTTGTCTGATTGTTATAAAAATTGACAAGTACACTAATTAAGGGCTGTTTTCCAGTTCCCCTTCTTTCAAAACATCGAGTTTTATGTTTTTTTTTGTGTTATTATGTCTAAATGCAGGAAGTGGTGCTGTAATCGAATTTGAAGGGTGGAACTGGAAAAGAGCCAAACTATTTTAGCGGTGCCAGAATGCCATTGGACTTTGAGTGGTGATTTACATCATTACTGTGAGCAGATTTTTTCTTCATTTTTTACCTCGGAACACAAATTTAGCCCATTACGAGGCCAAGCTGTGTACTGGATAGGGCTCTTTTTCCTTTTCCCGCCACCTGCTAATTTTTTTATTTGAAATTACTAATGACTTTGTCCGATTGTCATGAAAATTGACATGCTGACTCATTAGGCCATGACAAACATATTTGGTCTTCATAATTAACCTCGTAAAACCACTCGTTAGACCCTAAAGTTCATGTTCGAGTGAGGTGGGGGGAAAAGGAAAAAGAGCCCTGGATAGGCGCAAAATTTCGTGTCTGGATGTTCCTGGATTCCAGAGACAATTCTTATAACATGTTAAAATTTTGCCGCAATGATCAAACAGAATGAAAGAACAAAAGAACAAATGAAAGAACAAGAATACGCTTAACGTTCACAAAAGACACAGTTTGGTTTATTGTGAATTTTAAGCTGAGGACAACTTGTTTGAGCTGAGGACAACAATACCTTTTGAATGATAAAAAAAATTCCGTCAAAAATTGCTAGTTAAAAAGTCGAAATTTGTCTGAAGAAAAAACCCACCCCGAGCACAAATATTCCGTTACTTTCATATCGAACGTAACGGAATATTTGTGCTCGGGGTGGGTTGGGGGGCTATTAATTCTGATGAAATTCTAGGCAACTTTTGTTCTCTTCATTTTTTGTCTAATCTTAACCCAATTTGAGAGAAAACGTGTTTTGTTCGTTTGGTCCGGATAATTTAAATCAGCACTGTATATCGCGCGTTAATTGTCCCAAATTGGCCGAAATGGCAATCTTGAAACCCCCATAACTTTATGAAAAATGATCACAGATGAATTTTTTTTTCAAATTTGAGCTGAGGACAACAAAACCTTTTGAATGATTAAAAACATTCCGTCAAAAATGGCCAGTTAAAAAGTCGAAAAAAAACCCACCCGAGCACAAATGTTTCGTTATTTTTGTATCGAAAGTCGGAACAAAAACTGTTGGCTCTTTTCCAGTTCCCCCCTTTTCAAAATACCGAGTTTTATTTTTGTTTTACGTGTTGTTACGGCTAAATGCGTGATGTTGCGCTGTAAAGTATGAAGAACAAATCTGTTCGCAGTTGTCGATTTGGGCTCTTTTTCTTTTTCCCCCCCACCTCAGATTATCTTCAATTTTTTAGTGTAACGAGTGGTTTTACGAGGTTAAGTATGAAGACCAAATATGTTTGTCATGGCCTAATTAGTCTATTTGTCAACTTTCATAACAATCGAACAATGTGTTCAACAAACTCACTTGTAAAAACTTGCAGGTGGGGGGGGGGAGGAAAAAGAGCCTGGATTTGTTCACCACGCCAAATTTCATTGCTTCATGACATCGTTAAATCAGCTTTTCAAAATCGAATTTGAAGGGTGGAAAAGAGCCAAACTATTTTAGCGGTGTCAGAATGCCATTGGACTTTGAGTGGTAATTTACGTCATTACTCTCAGCAGATTTTTCCTTCAATTTTTTCCAAGCTGTGTTTTGGATAGGCGCAAAATTTCGCGTCTATATGTTCCTGGATTCCAGAGACAAATCTTATAACAGGTTAAAATTTTGTCGCAATGATCAAAGAGAATGAAAGAACAAGAATCCGCTTAAAGTTCCCAAAAGACACAGTTTGGTCTCGTAATGATGAAACAAGTGAGTCGAATTTTTGTTTTGATGTGTGAAAAATTTAATCATAATAAAATTTTTTAGAAAAATATGCCTTTAGAAAAATTTTAGGGCTGGTCAGCCAAAAATGGAAATCTCAAAAAAGTACAAAGGGGGACCTTTGGGTCGACAGGGGGTCAAGTCCGTGCGGGATAGCGCGCCTGCCCAACCCCCAGCCCCCTCTCCTAAATTCGCTGGTGATAATAAGCGTTTTTTTCTTCAAAAAAACCTCGGTTTTTTCATCATCAGATTGTTTTGATCGAATCAAACAGCCGCAGAAATTATTTGTATCTTTATATTTTTCGAAATGGTATGAAACTTGTACGACAAGCATTTTCCCATACACATGATAAATGATAAGCATTTTCCATTGTATGATAAGCATTTTCGGTGTATGGAGGTCAGCCCGTGAATTCACAAAATACACAAATAACCCTTGTAATGGGAACAACCTTTAAAACACCAAAAACACGAATAACATTATCTGAAATGTGTGGAAATCTTGTTATGAAATTATTCTGCTGTATAAAAATTAATACATGTTCAGGTAAATGAGAGTCTAGCCACAGTACGCGAGGATATAAACATCTACGACCTGGTCAAACCTCCCGGCACTACGCCAGTCGTGTTGACAAAGAAACCATTTCCGAGTCCCGAGCCCCGCCCCACCCTTCCAGTCGATCCTTGCGTTCGCGAGTACATGGAAGACAACTACGGTCGCGAGTTATATCTGAAATTACGTAATGAATTCGTGGAACCCGACGAACGATACGAATTCCCGCAAACTGAGTCGCATATGATCGGCTGGCGAATTCGAGAGTACGAAGATGGGAAACACAAGTCGCAGTTCGCGTCTAAAGATTGCACACAAGAAGTGTTCAGAGATAGAGGGGTGTTTCCAAAAGACACGCCCCCGCAACTGAGACGCGGGTCGAATGAAGAGCTTCAGAATGCTCAGAAAGCTCTCATTTTGATCACGTAAACTTGTGTCATGCAGTGGTGAAATTGAGCTTCAGATTCAAATTTTACCAAGCTTTTGAACTATGAACAAAATAAAACTCTTGAAAAGACCTTTTTTACCGCTGCCAAAGAACCATTTTATGCAGTAGCGTGCCGAGGGGGGTGGGATTGGCGACCGCCCCCCTCCTTCAATTCTGGTTGCCAAATTTTTCCTTTCTTTGGTATAATTTTACAATACCCATGTTTGGCTGAATAAACTTAAATTTTTCTGCAGACGCAAAAACCCCTCCCCCCCCCCCCCCCCTAGAAAAATTTCTGCGCGGGCCCACTGATTTTATGATATTAAAAAAGTGATTAAAACTTAATTTAGCGGAATCTTTTTTGTACCTTACTTGTCGTTTTTCTAGTTCAACAAACCTTTGTTGAGGTTGACAATTGCTATCAAATTTTATGTTTAGGCTACTAAACAACTCCAAATACGCCATATCATAAATATATCAATGAAACTTCTAGGGTTTTTGGGATTTTTTTTGTGCTTGATGATGATAGCGGGCTCTTTTCCAGTTCCCCCCTTTCAAATTCAATTTTGAAAAGTATATTTAACGTTGTCACAATGCAATGCAATTTGGCGTGGTGAACAAATCGACAATTCTGAACAGATTTGTTCTTCATATTACAGCGTAAAATCACGCATTTAGCCGTAATAACACGTAAAACAAACATAAAGCTCGGTATTTTGAAAGGGGGGGACTGGAAAAGAGCCTGATAGCGATTGGCTCTTCCCCCCCCCCCTCCCCCCGTCACCTCACATAAGCATCAATTTTATGGTGAAAAGACTGGTTTTTACAAGGATGAGTATGAAGACCAAATATGTTTATCATGGCATAATTAGTCTGTATGCCAAATTTTGTAGCAAGACGAAAATGTGAACAGAGAAAATACTCTAGAAACTTTGCAGGTGGGGGGAAAAAGAAAAAGAGTCTAGCGATTAACTGTTTATTTCGTTGTACTTGATAAATTTTATAATTCATAATTTCTATAAGTTTAATTAAGCGTAAATAAAAATGAAACGATACCATTGTGTATGGTTAACTTTTACATGACTTTCAACTTCGGAACTATTTGGTATACGAATTCGATAACCCATATTGCAAGGTCAAAATGTAGTTTTAAAATACGTTCGGTTGGTATTGGACAAACAGTGTTCCATTTGGAACCAAACTCTGCAGATAAAATATTGCAAACGAAATTGATGTTGGTGTAGATTTAGTTAAACTTCAAATAATTGTTCGAAACTTCAACGTTATAATTTTATAATCATTCTTCTGAAAGCATTTGAATGACAAAGCATTAGTTCTAGGTGCTAGAATATCAAGATGCTTCAAAATCTACCTGTCGACATTATTTTAAAAGTTTGCAATTTTTTATCAAACCCAGAGTTGAGAAATTTTTCGGTTACTTCAAAAAACTTCCACCTTTTAATAAAACAATACTCATTGCTGCAGCTGAACAAAGATCACCAATTGGGAGTCCTGACCTGGGAGCTTCTGGGACGATTCAGTGATTTAGATCAGAACCCTTTGCTAGCTCTTTTTGTGTGGAACAAACTGAGTGCAACCAGTATTGAATGCAGTGATAACATCAGCAGTCTTTTTGAGTTAGTGCAACTGTGAGCTTTTTCTTTTCTCCACTCTTCGCTTCATAATTGTACTCCCTGGTTGAGAACAACCGCTAAAAAATGTTTTTACGGTACCGCGACAACTTGCATCAGAAGACAACATGTGACAACTCGCAAAATTTTGAAAATTAATTTATAACGACGAAATTTTGGTAACCGGCTCTAAAGTTCGTATAAAGTCCTACTCTCTATAGGCAAGATCGCTATGTGCTGACGCGACAGCGGGGTGAGTGTACTGCGAGTTGTCTTTTATTGCGAATTGACTTTTCTTGCGAGTTGTCGCATGGTTTTTTATTGGCGGGATGAGCATTTCATACGTCATGAAAATAGTGTGAAATGTCTACGAGCGCAGTTTTATTTATAATATGAAATTCTATGTGACTACCAATTTTCTGTATATCAATATAAGAAATCTTCAAATTTGGCTTCGCATTCTTAGGTGTTTATTTTTTCAAAAAGATAAAACTACAGATTAATTGTCAATAAATATACCACTAATTTCACTGCCAAATTAATTTTATGCTTGTCTCACAGAGTTCGACAAAAAAATTTTTATACACATTTGCTTTAACAAGCTTCTAGTTGGAAAAAATCCTTGCTTTAAAAATTGGACAATTTTTGTTAATTTTTCTTATAATCTGAAATTGAAACAAATTGTTTCGGGCTCCACATAAAATAATCATTCTAATTTTTGTTTTTTTTTCATGTGAAAATATTGTGTCTGCACTAGTTTATAGAAATCAATTTGAAGATTTAAATGCAAAAACCAGCTTCTTGATAATGTTTGTTTGAGAATAAGGATGATTTTATGACTGAAAAAGAGAACAAGAAATTTTTCTTTTTAAATTGGGGTTTTGATTTTGATTTTTCTACGGTCTAATTTTTGCTTATCATACAGCTCCCATATTTTGAAGCTTTATAATTACAACTTTATAATTCAGGAGAAAATTGGTAATCAGTTTCCATAATCAGGTTGATTAGTTTTACCTTGATAAAATCAGATCTTTTAACTTTTTTGATCAAGAAAATTTTTCGTTTTTATAAAAACTATCCAGGCTGACCTGTAAACTTTGATTTTTTCTGGATCAGCAATTTTTTAGATATCTAACATTGCTAACTTTGTCTATGATCAGAAATATTCAAATCTGGTTTAGAATTGAAATTCAAGGCTGGTTAACAGCTAACTTAAAACTGAAAAAACACTGCAATAACCACGAATCTTCAGCGAACTAAGGCTGAAGTCAGTAAAAAAAGCTCACTTTAAAAACATGCAATCAAACCACAAATGAAAACAATTGAAAATTGGTACTCAAAGTCATTGATATCTTTTTATTTTAAAAACCTCCACCTAATGTTGATTACAACAACAGAGCAAAAATGAAAAGACTTCAGAGATAAATAAAAACACACCAATCGACAATTTCAGTGGTTTATAATGATATATGGAACCTGATCTAAACTATATTTTATGATTGGATAAATTAAATGTTTTACCAATGTAAAGTATTTAATATTAACCAATCACGATCCATCTAACTAACAACCCACTTATTTGTAAGTGCTGAAGTTACTTGTAATTTCAGCACCAGAGAGATTTGAATTTAACTTAGAAATTAGTTGGACTCTCCCGAGCACTTCAGCAGCCGCAATAAACCAGTATACCCTAGATCTATTGAGCCTAGCAGAGACTAGTTAAACAACCTGAGACTAGATAGTATAAGAGTAAGATTAGGATCGGTATTAGACTAAGAAGTTGCACGAATCTATCCGGCCGAAAATAAGATAGCGTGACGAGCAGACGGTGTACCCTATCCGAAATTACTCTATGAGTTATACACTCCAGTCTTAACTCATCTGGTGCGACCATAAGTCTCGAACAAGACCTTACTAGATTAGAATTAACCAAAAATAGATTAGAAATTAGACAAAAACATTTACAAAATGTTATACGACAATAATTTAATTGAAATGTCTCTCCGACTCAATAGATCAGAGCCAATATTCCGAACCATAACAGAACTACCCGGAATTGGAAGAAGACCTCGAACCAAAGACGACATACGACAAAGTAGAAACTTGCCGTATAGTTATATGATAGTTCGGCAAAAGCCAGAACAAACTTTTATATTTCGAATACTACTTGCAATGAATTTAGATTTCCATTTGCAAACATAAAACCTTGAAGTTACTCTTCAAAATCATTACAGGCGCTAAACAAAATTAATATTATACAATAACGATTGATAAAAAGATCTTAGATCGTTTTCCTAAAACTCTGCAGTAATATACAAAACATGTTTGAAAAATATTTATTGGAAAATAAAAATAAAAATTAGTAGCATGACAATAAATGGTTAGTAATCATAAATCATCCTGTTGTTCCAGCTCCATCACCTAAAACATAACAGCAATCATAAACCCACTAATATCATCAAAACACTAAATCTTTCCTTTACACACATTTAAAATTTTATTAAAACTTAAATTCACTTAATTTTAAAACCAGATCATCAAGGCTTATCCTTGGATCTTAAATCATTTTCTACTTAATAAAATCTCAAATTTGATCATCAAGGCTTATCCTTGGATCAAACAGAACAACTTTGTTCTCCCCCACCCACTTAATTAGTGTCTAACGACCTCAAACGTCGATTCACTACCCAACCCTTTCTAAAGACCTAAGACTAATAGAAATTTTTAAACAAAACTAATCATTCAAATTAGGATAAACAGTGAAGAACTTCGGTTATTCATCCTTCACTTGACCCCCCCCTCTTACCAGACCCAGGATAAATCTTAGACTTAGTAAGTTTAAAATAGTATCTAACGAACTACTCGCGTTCTAATTATACCTGAACCTTGTGGATCGATTTACTATTCTCCAACCCTTGAACACAATCACTACCCCTAAGTAAGATTAAGTAAGTTAACACCTTAGCTTATACTAGTCACGAGAAAGTAAAAATCATTCTTCGGAATCGATATACTTTTCTCTCCAACCCTGAACAAATAGACCCAGGTTAAGCTAACCAAAAAATCGTAAGAACTAACAGTTTAAGAAAATAGAAACCATTTAACAACCTTTTGCATCCGTCATTCTAAACCTTATGTCATTTAAAAACCTAGGAAATAAACAAACAATCGTTTTACACAATTGTGAAATAGATAACAAAAAATACGACCTTGTAATCACACCTCATACACAAACAGTTGGATACATTCGCACAAAACGACAAACACTAAAGAGGAAAATAATAACTAAACAAAGACAAATAACACGAAAAAGATTTTCAAAAAATCGAAACGCATTTTCAGAATCAGAAACCAACAGTTTAGACGAACTTTACAAACTAAAAGAATCAATAGATAAAAATTGCCCACTTCACGATCAACTATATTTTTCTGACTCAGAAACAACTTCAAATTCATCACAAAGAGGAAAAAGAAGAATAAAAAAACAGTACAAACACAAACCAGTACATTTATACAATTGGAATCAACCAATTCGACACATTAATAATTACATATTAACAGTCATCGAACGGAAAAATGAGTTCAACACACACCCCAGGTGACGAAACTCCAGATGATGATGAAATCTTTCCTTTTATAGTAGACGCAGATACTGATAGAGGACAACACATATTTTGTCAAAATTTACTCGTAAATTTATTTGAACCCGGAATCAGTCCATGTAAAACAGAGTTCCCCGATGTAAAAATCAAAAGACAAATCATAGACCACTACTTAAAAGATATATGCAACATAACACAACAGTATGGAATCTACTCCATAGAATTCACTTCCCCAAACCATAATAATAGAACATATACTATTCAAACAGACGATCTTGACTTAGAATTTTCAAAAGTTTTTTCAGAATATATAAAAAGCATCCAATACCATAACTCACAAAGAGCAAACTCCATTTTCACCAATGAAGTTTTCGCAATAATATATAGTTATATTTCGATATTAGAAAATGAACTCCCATTAACAAATGTCTCACCGACAGAAACATCTAAACATTTAAGAGTACGACATGAAATCACATTACTCTCTAGTTATTTAAACATCATTAAAGAAAATTTCACGAAAGACGACGTTTCACAACATACAAAACACGATCTACAAAAAATTTTGGCATGGTTCATAATAGATTATTTCACACACAATATTGATTTAATTGCACAAGCAAGAAAAAATTTTAGACCCCAAAATTCGAACGATGATACCGCTATCACAGAACAATCAGATTATGTTTGGGACCCCGAATGGTCTCATCCCGCATTTATAAGCTTCCCACAATCAATCTCAAGTCAAGCAATAAGTACGATATCTTACATAAGAGATTATGTAAAAGTAATACCATTAACCATTGATGCAACACCATTAAACTATAATACATTTTTACCCGATACACAAAATAATAGTTTAAACTCTACAGTCATACACAACGAAAACCTCAATGGAACTAGGAATCTTACTCAACAAGATATACAGACACCATCACACTTCATAAATGAAGAAATTGTACACACAACAACTACACAACAAAGTATTTCACCAATACGCCCGAATTTAACAACACCAAGAAATACAAATCCTTCACAAACACAGGTAACCTTACAATCAACCGTTAAACCTTCGGTTGCTCCAAAATATTCACATATGGATTACCAAACATATAGACCCATGACAATACCATCAAAAACACGCAAAACATTCACTAGAAACAACTTTACAGACCATAATTATAATTATACACATCCGTCAAAAACAAATTATCAACCACAAAGGAATTTTAATCAATATACAAAACCTCGAAACTGGGATAACCCAACGGCCCAATATAATTCCAAAAATTTTCAACCAAATCCTCCACAGGATCGCAGTGAAAATTACCCATTTTTTCAACAAAATAAAAATAAAAAACAGACATCTTATCAAATGGATTATTTATCCTCAGATGATGATTT